GCCTGTATGGTGGATGGAGTCTCGTGAGATACTTTGATTTTACATTTCACTCGTCTGAATGGTTTGAACGCATGTGGTATCAGTGAATTCCACCAACCAATTTGAATAAATTCAGGATGTTAGACATAAAAATCAAATTCTAGGCCGTAAATGGTTCAGAACAAAATGCCTTAAATAAACTAAGAGGGGAGACATCAATGAAATACCGCAACGTGTATGTCAACATTTAACTTGCTACGGGTGTCTTGACAAACATAATCACCATAGCAACGACAGGTTAAGAAAGTTGCAAATTGTTGTAGGTTTGTAGTATCAACTATTTTTGTGAGGAAGAGATCAGGGAACCACACTTGTCATCACTTGGTGTTGCTCGGCTTGCTGGTTGTTGTGTGATTCATAGCAGAATCTAACAGGATCAAACACTTGTTTCTCTCTCACCATCAGCTCCGGGAAATATTTTTTATGTTTGAAATAAGGTTCACACTGAATGGACTTTCTGTGCGTGTTTGTGGCCCTTTGCACATGCGTTGTTTGTGGCCCTTTGCACATGCGTGAAGTTTTCGGGTCATTTAATAGGATACACTTGATTATTTATTGATCCTCACAATACTGGCCCTGGTAGGAAGTCAGGTGTTAACAGACCTCTAAACCTACGAGGGAACAAAACAAAAGGAGGATGAGAATAATTGAGATTATTGCATGAAGGGTGTCCCGGGCTCCTGAGAAATGCCATGTTAGAGGGAACAGTGTCGGTCTACATATCGCTCGGGACAGGAAGAGCTGTCTGAAGGGCTGGAGGTAGATTTCAGAGAAGGGAAACACCCTCCTTGTCACTATCAGAGCAACACATGGTCCGGCACGGGGTGATTTCAGGCCTCCGGGTCCCCAAAGTCAGTCGGCCGCCCAACACAATGTTATCTGCGGATAGGAGTGCCGGCACACACGGTCAACCGTCCACTGGCGACCGCCCAAAGAAGTTTCTCACACGCGTTCCAGAGAAATGATTTATAATTTACTGTTGCTTCCTCAAATGAAGCGGCCACTTAAACAGTGAACATGACCAACGGGGGAAAAAAAAGTTTAACATTCTCACAGTATAGTATATTATAGAAAATACAAATCTCTTATTTGTTTGGTTTAGAATGATTCCAGTCAAAGGTTCAGCGAGGAGGAAGAGGCTGCATTGAAAGCCTGAATGGGCTTCTCGTGGCCCTTGGCTGCTGCCTGCGTGTCTCAAGTCTGCTGGACCTGATGAACAATACGGCCCTTTCATTCACTGTTTGTTTTCGGGGATGTATGTTGGGCACACAGACACGCATACACCCCATGTCTGTCCTCAATCCTCGTACACTCACATAAAACGTGGACGCCGGACAAAGTCAATCTGTTCACACAAACGCATGCGCGCGCACAAATGCATCAGGCGTCTGTCCTCGTGTGTGAGTGAGTTGTCTTGGGGGAAGGTTCTTGTAGATATCCCTCTTCCTGCATTTGTTTAGACCGCTCCTTCTCCGCCGCTGCACACCGGGATGCTGTAAGCCCGCGGTGGTGATGGGGGGGGTGAATACAAGAGTCCATGTTTCCTCTGGCACGCTCCATATCTTGATAACCTTGATTTCGGTAAGGTGGAGGAGGAACCAACGAGGTTATGTTTGCTTTCAATTTCTTAAACCTTTGTTAAACCGAGTCTGCACAAAGAAACACAGTAATCTCATAAAAACCTCTGGAATAAAAACATCAATATGTTTTATCTACAGCCTGAGCGATACAGCAGGTTCTTTTCACAGCTGACATTTTAACAGAAATAAGCAATGTCTCTGATGTGTTCCAATAAGCTGTGACTGCGAGCCGTGTTGATGGGTACAAGAGGAGGCCACCCCACTGAAGCCTTTCTAATGCTGAGTTTACCGTTTGCAGGTCGGCGGAAAATGTGCATTATTTGGGTCCCACACACACAGTAATGCACGTGTGACTCATACATAACTTCACAAGCTCATCACCATCATCTATGCCTTCACTGTGGTACTGCATTTCACTCAGCGGCGAGGTCAAAGAGCAGCTGGTAGGAATAACATCAGTCTAAATCTGAGTTGGAAACAGATAGACAGAAGTCTAAAATACACAAAGCATGTCCGCCGTGTCAGCTTCACGCAATCCCTCACCTGTTTTGTCAGCTCTGTCGGCTCATTATAAGCAAACAGCATGAATAATTATACGTTACCAATGAACATGGGCTCGATTCTCTGTCAGAAAACGCAGTGTGTATTAATAACTTGGCTTCAATGTGAAATGCGTTGGTGAGAGGAGAGTGGGGATTGATGCTGTTGAATCTTCTTAAACCAAATAGACATTGATACAGTTTGTTTAACTTGTCCTGTGTTGACCTGAGAGACCTTTAAAAAAATATTCTCAATACTTTAAATTAACTAAATTATGAATTGCTGCATTATTAATGAATGAATGAAATCCATCTTTAAGAGCTGCAAGTTGACATTTACTTGATACAACTAACAATGATGGCCTGTGTAGTCAAAGGCTTATGCCTCCCTGTCATAGAGCTCCCTCGTTGTCCTAAAGCACATCAGAGAGCTGCACAGTAGCTGCGGGTGAACACATGCACGGCTGAAAATAACTCCCCTGCCCCTCAATCCAGTTTTTTCAGCCGAGTTCACAGACACCGACAGTTGAAAGGTACGGAGACATTTAACACCACGGATCTTTTAACTCTTAATCTTTCTGGAATACACCTCAAATAGACACCTTTGGAGCAAATGGACACAATTTTTCAAAAATACTGCTTAGTCCACAGTTTAAAAAGTTGAAAATAAATTCTTATTGAAAATCTTCAGTTTGTGTGTTCAACCTGTCCGCTTGAGTTGTTGATTTGTAGGGAGACAAAAAGCTTATTGTGGACTTTAAGATGATTTATCACTGAGTTACAAAGAAAAATGGATGCATAGAGATTCATAAAATAAATCTGGCCTAAAAGCTTCTGAAAAAACTGTATTCCAATGTATTGTTTTTCTAAACAAGCAGCGTTAAATGTCATTGAGGAAACTGTTAAGGAGAAGACAAATGTGCAAAAAAACAAAACAAAACAGAATTTTCCAACTCATGTTTTTTAACATGTATGTATGTATGTATGTATGTATGTAATAAGTATGAAGGAGGCGACAAAAAACAACAAGTCAACAGCCGACTTACACACCATCAACTACAGTAAATGCAATGACAACATGCCAGTGCTGCGTTTCAGGCCCGTGACTCAGTTTGTGCCGACACTGCGTGTTCACCTCGGCTGAAAAACAAAAGTTTCCCTCCTCGCGCTTTCCCGCTCGGGAGCTGCTGTCACAGAATCAACCTCCGGTGGATCGCAGAGATGAGTTGTAGAGTTTATGTGAGGTCGAGGTGACCGATCAAGTGCACATGTCCATCAATCCGGCCTTCGCTCGGACGAGGCTGAAATGGGACGGTGTCAGGAGCAGCGCGGCAGGCGGAGGTCGGGGAGGGTCACGCTGATGCGTCCTGGCAATGCTGGCTTTTTCCATCAAGCACTCGAGTACACGACAGACAGAGGAGGGGGGGGGGGACGCACCAACACGTGCGCTCGTCCGCCACGCACAAACATTAATCAGACACCCTCCTGGACAGCCTTGAACTTCAACCACTACAGTTAGTGTTGAGTGTTTGGTTGGTTTCAGATATGACTTAACTAAAATTAGATAAACATAATGGTTAAGAATAGTTTCCAGTAGCCATGCTAAGCTAACCATCATCTTCAAATCCACCCAACAAGCATGAAAGTGGTATCATTCCTCTATCAGAAAAAAAGCCAATATGTTCATTTCTCTTTAAATTAAACACCTAGAATAGAAGTCCAGAGAGTGAATTTGACACATCTTAAGCAGAAGACATGTGCAACAATGCAATGTAGGAACAAAGTTACATCATTTGTCATGTTCTATAGAATTGTCTGTCCGTGTTTGAGTGTCCATTGCCTGCCCTCACCACAAAATTAAAGCCATTTGACTGCACGTTGGCCCGTCAGCAAGGACAAATGCAACCTAAAAGATCCCTATTATATAATGCGCAGCATATCTCCAGGCATTCTGCGTTTATGAGAGATTATTCCGGGTTAAAACCAACAGCCCGTAAAAAAAAAAAAAAAACGAGGAGGAAAATGAGTTATTTCACTTTTGTCTGTAACTCTTTGTTTGCGTCCCAAAATGCGGCAGATGGTTTTGGATCTCGTGGCTCCAACACCTGACTTCATGACTGTTTCTTCTGTTTCTACTCTTTTCTTTTTAACCTTTGGAAATCCAGTATCAGAAGTAGAGCTAAAAGCAAATTTGTAATATTTCGTCACCAGTTTGTCTTTGCCTTACTTTAATGGCTTATATCTCTCTCTATATATATAGATATATATATATATAGACTCCTCTCAATATTGGCACAGGACACAGCACAGACAACCGAGCAGTAAACCTAAAGGACCGCGCAGCAAACGAGAGCTCTCTGCAACTTCACTCCGAGCGGATTTGCTATTGATCCCAGAAAACAATTCCACTTCCTTTCCCGTTGCCGAAGAATGCTTCCCAGCAAAAAAAATAGAGCACCAGGGATGTAAGCAAAAAGGTGGGGGTGAAGGGGGAGAGGAGGAGATGGAGGAGGAGAGACAGAAGGGAGGGCCTTTGGGGGAAACACTCTTGTGATGCCACGGCTTTTCTTCTCGTGCCCCTCGCGTGGACTAACAGTTTGGCGTTGGGTCCGCACTCAGCTCAGACGCCATCAACTTGAGCCCCGGTTTTCCACCATCTCCACCATCACCTGCCGCTTGTCCTCCGAGCTCAAGGAAGACTTGTTTCATCAGAGCACAAATCAGGAGAAAAAAAACAGCCTTCCAGGAAACAGCAGGAGAGCAGGTAAGCCATCAATTATCACGCAAACACAAGTCTTACTCGGGTGGACGACTAGAAGGACGCAGACATTTAGATCAACACTTTGAGCATCTTATCACAAAACCACAGCAGCAGACTCTTAGCGATGAAATATGTGAGAGCGAGGTGAGACGTTATAGTGTCCTTGTTGTCCACTGCAGGTAAAGACATCGCTTCAATCGCTCTTCCTGCTTTCGTCTCACTCTGCATGTCTCTCTCTCTCTCTCTTCATCGTCTCTCCTCATAACTCTCAAAAGAGACAAATGTATTAAACAGTGCAGCACTGGAGAATCACGCAGGGCCACCAGCAATGTGTGCACACACCTTGAACACTTTGAGGGTTTTTTGGCTCCAGAGCAAACAGTGTCAAAGTCTCACAATGGAGTAGGTGCAAATGTAAAAGTAAAGTTAGTTGGTAAAATGGTCTCAGTACAGCCTTATATATAATATCACCTGATTAGTATTAGCAATGCAACCGCCTTTTTGGTATCTTAACTTGAAAAGTAACTGTAGATATTGAATACACAGAGTGTGGTCAAAATCACGATATATCCAATGAAATACAAGTAAAAAAGTAGTAAAAATTACAAATACTGAAGTAAATGAGTTAACAAATTATTCAAAAAGTAAAGAAACTGCAGGAGCTCAAATGAGTTTCCATCATAAATCAAAGACAAAGCCGATTCAATCTCTGTTTGTTTCAACCCGAAAATGAAGCCGCTCTGTGACATTATACTGAATCCCACCTTGCTGCACAATCATTAAAATATGATTTAAAAACTATATTTCAAATGAATTAAACACAACAGACGATTTAAGAAAATATCCCTCAGAATAAAAAGCTGTCAGGCTCACTTTACAAACTAAATTGTGTCCATTGCCAATAATTATCTTACATCACCTATAAACAAGATCTGCGTAAAAAATATAAGTTAAGAAAAACTAAACTGAAACAAGTCACAATCTTTCACCCCCTGAATAAGAGCAGCTATCCAGGGGTGCCGGTCAGGAGAATCCTCCTCCACACCTCACAGCTGGTGGTCCTGAGGGCTCCAGTCTGATGCCATATGCAGTGAAACAATAGATCATAGCAGGGCTGTGAGTCTGTGTACAGTAGTGGGCAGATGAAGAGCCCAGACAGCCATGTAAGGTAGCAGGCAGCGCATCGGCCCGCCGGCTTCACGCTGGGGAGACTGATGTATGGCAGCCTGGATCCGTGTCGGCCTGAAAGCGGTGGCAACAGGTGACTCGCGTGAATTGGAAGCATTCTCGCCCTCATCCCGCATCGGATGTCTCTGTCTCTAACCCAGTACGCCACCACGGCAATGCCGCTGGACTTAAACATGCTCGTCATTTATCGTAATCCCGTGGGAGGGATACGCACACACCCATGAGGCCCTGCAGCCGAACAGCTTCTGCAGTATATGCTGGGATTTACCCACCAAAGGTTTTGGGTCCCAGTTTAAAAGCCATGTCATATTTAAACGTGAACTTTTACACTTATGTGCACTGATTATTTATAATCACAGTCTATAAATAGGCTTCATTTACTTCCATTGTGTCCCAGATAATGCCATGAAGCTGCCTCAATCAAGCAGAGAGTAAAAATAACCATCACTAGGCTTAGTAACTGAATGCTGGGTATGTTCGGCATCCCGTATGTCTGATCTCTTGAGGTCAGCTGAGACGGATGCAAACCCTGAATACGTGTGCCGGCCCGGAGGAGCCGTGTGGCAGGTCTGATGCTGCTTTCTCTTACTCTGCCGTGGCGTTTCCACAGTCACTGAGCTCTCACAGCAACCAAGATATTTTGGTTACAGAGCTGCTGTCAGGGGCTTTTTGTTAAGTGGTCCTTTCATATGAGCTGAAATGTAGAGTTTATCTAAGTTAGTTACTTTGTTTTATTGGGGAGTTTTTGGAGAAAAAGATTTATATGACCACACAACCGGCATAGAAGAGATCTGATAACCAACAATTAAGTGAGAAATAAAACAAGAAAGAAACACTGATGATAAACAAACTTCAGATAAGTGTTAACGTCTCACTAAGGTGAATTAAATGTATCATGGGGGAAGTTTGCATGCAGTGCTATTTGAAAGGTCCATAATACCTGAAACTAGCTGATTGATGCGTACCTTTGGAATCGTGAGATGACCATTCATTTTTAATCCTGATTGTGATACAGAGAGCAATGATGACAGGGAAACCTATAATAACTGAACCTCAAAACATGTTTACTCCATAAAAGCCATCTAGTTTCATGTTAAAGCAATGGGAGCACAACATATTATACCAGTATGGTGTCATTATTCTCAGCCATTACTAGTCAGTTGGTAAGTTATATGAATTATTCATCAAACAAAACTGAGTTCTTTCTTGAAAATTCAGCAGCGATGCAGTAAAACCAGTTTTCAGCTTTATTTTGAAAAACTAAAACAAAAAATCCCTCCTGCAACGTAGTGTTGGTTCACAAAAACACACCTCAGTGAATGTCAGGTATTTAATTTCATTTCTAGTTATTTATTGTTATTGTAATCCACTCAAAGCAGATATAATACAAAGAAGCAGGCCAGAAATAAAATTTTTGTCTAATTTGTAACAATAGGATTGTGTTATTGTACATTTGTCCTACACCAGAATCCTCCTCGGTGACCCAAATTTGGCTGTGCAGGTGTTTTTAGTATCTAACTTCAGGCCCCTCCAGCGTACGCAGGTGTGTCTAGTGTATCCCTCTAGAAAATGTCAAATAAAGACGACACTTTTCCTGGAAACAAATGAGCTTCCTTAATGTGTTTTACATTCTAATGAAAGCAATTAGTTTGTCAGAGAATGGTTCTTTTAAGCCCTCGTTTTGCAAACATTTCAACATCTCAAGCAAATCCTCTCAGACACTTATAACAAGTATATTGTAGGCTCTGTAAAGGCTTTTCCTGCATTAATGTTAGTCTAAACATCCCCCATTAAAATGTATGCTCCTCCACCTAATGCTCCATTTGTTTATGAGGACAAGGCGGAGCAGTGACTGGGTCCTGGTCCTGAATGAGGATGCAGAGTCTGACATACACAGCTTAGTGCTGAAAGGTGCAGATCACTGAATAAATGTTTGATTCAACCCTGCCCCCTGTTGTCTCCGGCCCGTGGACACACTGCAGGCGCAGGACGACCGGCTACTGTTGGCAGTTTATGTTTTTAAACACATCAACTCAATTTGAAAGGAGAAATCATCATCATCAGTTTTTTATTTGGTCTGAAAATACGTTTTTATATCCCGAGGGTTAAAAGCGGCGTCTCAGTCACAACCTTGACACATTGAGAGATGTGAGAGACATAAATATGAATCCATTGCTCCATGTGCCATCATACGGCAATAAAAACACAGCTTAATGATCCTATAAAACCTCGGTCCTGTGCAGGGGGGGGTTTCTCCAGCCTGAGTCCCGACGGATTCTTCAACCAGAGTCACTGCCCTCTAAGGCAACGATGAGGCCGCTCCAACACACCGCTGGATTTATTGTTGTGTTGCGGCGGGAGAAACACAGATAATCATTTTACTCTTCTCCGCAGCAGCAGCAGCCGTCATTTTGCCGTGATGCAGTTTAATTGCGGCAATTTCTCTCTTCCCCGAGCTGCCTGGCTGCCATCCAGATGTGCTAAACGTCGAGCATGCACGTCTAACTTGAAATTGAAATACATGTAATATAAAAGTGGTTGGTCCAGTTTGGACAGAGTGGACACTGGCGTTGGCTACTGTTGATACAACAGAGTCATCTCTCATGCTCAGTCTGTTTATAATACCCCTCACACCTCGTCTCCGTGGAAACCTTTTAACTCAACAACACAAACGCACAAGGAGGCTCGGGTATAACGTCAGACGTAAATTACTCAGAGGTGCAGAATACCTCATTTGCGTAGTTTACCGTTACTTTACAACCAGATTTTCCATTACTCTCCCACAGCGATTATAAACAAATATGACAGCCATGATGGTTTACAGCGAACCAGACCACTCAGCAAAGGGCACAATGCACCCCAGTAAATCCTTGGTTATTGCCAGAGGACCAACGAGATCATGGGTTTGATCGACAATCAACGGCAAAAGGTACTCTTTAAAGAAGAGGAATTGACTGGAAGGTCTCGGCTGGAACATTTTAATATCTCGTTCCTTTTCGTCCTTCGGAAAATCACATTGTTTGATATTGCTTCCTCTGAGGAGGGGAAGACGCTGTTGAGGGAAGGAGACAGAGAAACACGGCCTCTCCCCAGTTTACCTCAGCACCACTTTGTCTACTATGATATAGTATTGTGTATTTTATGTAATAAGCAATGAGATGTTGTTTTTATGGTGCATTCGTTCATGAGGATGAATTCGGACAACTTTGGTGTCCCCCAATCATTTACATACAACATGAGGTTGGTCTGGTTTTAAAAGACTTGAATGAGCCAGTTCACTTGTTGCAGACATGTTCAACTCGGGAAAATCAAAATGACATAATTTCATTTCCACTAAGGCAAAATGATTAGATGTACTGTTTTCTTCTTCTATTCTTTTTACTTGCCTATTTTTTGTATATATTTTCTTTAAAGGGCTATAAATTGTTGCGGAATATTGTTAGATATTAATATAGCTGCTAAAGGATCTGGGAATCTTTGTATTGCACCAGTGACAGATTAGTAAATCCTCCCCTATATTAAAGTTTCCACACTTAAACTCATAAAACAGACGGCAAATGAACACACTGCAGTAGGTTCATTGTCTCCCACCGAGATTACTCAGATTTTCCTTTCCGTGTTTGATGTGAAATGAATAGTCGTCATGAAACTGATCCAAACTCAAGTGATCCTATCAGTAAGGTTAGCTCTGAGCGAGCCCAGGGGGGTACGTTGTTGTCACCAGGGTCTGCACGAGTGAGGAAAGCCTGTTGTCAGTGTGCGCTGATAAGAACATGGCTGTAGCTCCTGCTATTGTGTTGGCAGAACTCTCACTCCCTTCCTCCCCCACTTCTCTGCCTCAGTGATTTACTGCCTGTAAAGATCTTTAGCTTCATCAGGGGAGCTTCAAACCAGTTCCCTGAGTAGGAACGGGCCCACGTGCACGCTGGAAAACAAGTGTCAGACAGTAAAACTTCCCTGCGCTGTGCATCGGCCTCGTGAGTGGATAGAGATCGAACCTCTCCCACGTGTCCTGATCGGGGGGGGGGGTTGTTTCCTGCCTCTTTGTACTTCACAGATTACAAGGTCAACACTCTGATTCTCCTTCTTATTGCCATATATATACTTCACAGACACACTGAGGGAGGGGGTGAGACGGACTGAGGGCCGTGTACACCATCTGTCTCCCACACAGTGTCAGTGAGACAAGTCGAAGCCCCGCGCGGTGGACTGTACAATGGGAGGAACTGGTTATGGGAGCAGCTGCTGGTGGAAAACACTTGGAGGGAGTTGATAGGTGGTAAGAGAGAATATTAACTCAGTGTTTGCCTTTTTTTCACACGCTGTGATTGTAGTGATCATACTGTATATCCTTCGGGGCAGACCATTAAAATAACAGTTTGTCTTGACACACGGCCTTTCAGGAATGTTCTCCATAACCTTGCCAAGTGGGGCAGTAACTTCAGATGTGTGACGTGTTGGAAAAAGCTGTCAACCACTTACCTTCAGCCCTCCTTAAAGTATGTTCTAATTAATCTGGCTTGGATCTCAAAGTAAAAGTTGGCGGCAGGCAGAGGGACGTGGTGCATTCAGAGGTCAGAGGCGGCCCTTCAATGGGGCTTGATGGGTTTTCGTAACCCCCTCCCCAATGATAGGGGTCACTTTATTGCACTAATAAAGCTGTCTGGTCTGCTGCCTTGTAGGGTAATTATTGGCTGAGACTCGCCAGCCTGTCACTGCCATGTTTGGGTCTCGCCCAAACTCTTACTAATGCTGCAGGTGAAAGCGCGCACGCACACATCGGTTAGATTGACGCTGTCAGACAGATACAGAAAGCAGCGCGTAGGAGGTTTTCACTGTCGCAGAGAGGACAGCGGACATCAAAGCTGTCGTTGTTGGTGAAGTCTGCCGGCCACGGGCCACAGGCACGATCGGCTCAGGCTGGGTCACGGCGTTTAAAGGACAAAGTCCCCTAGCTTTGACTCGCCCTGTGGCGGCCTGTTACACTCTCTGACTGTCAGTCGTACATCATTTCGAATCGCACATGGGGAATGTAATCCCACACATACTGTAATATTGAGTCATTTTTCTTAAAACAACCTCATTATTTACTTTGAAATGACTCTCAAACTCCCTCTGCCTTCCTTCCTCTCTCTCTCTCTCTCTCTCTCCCCTCTCTCTCGCTCATGGGAAAGTGGTTGTTCTCATGCCACATTGTCCGGTCCGCAAGCAATTCACAGGCAGAGAAGCTATTTTTGTGATGCCCCGCACACTCAGGTCATTTCATCTGCAGCAATGTAGTGGAGCCATTCGTCTACTGACTGACCATGTCCATGTTTCTCCCCTTTGCCCTCCTCCCTGCTCAGTTCATCCTCCACCTCTCCCCCCCCTCAGTGACTTCCCCTTCTCACCCTCTCGTGCGCCCTCTCTCCTCGCACTTCCTCTCCTCCCGCTCCAGTCTCTGTGTCTCAGGTGTGTGTTCGGCCTGTGAGCAGTGATGGGGGATTGGAGTCTCCTGGGGAATTTCCTAGAGGAGGTCCAGGAACACTCTACCTCGGTCGGGAAGGTCTGGCTCACCGTCCTCTTCATCTTCCGCATCCTGGTGCTGGGCACGGCGGCCGAGTCGTCCTGGGGCGACGAGCAGAGCGATTTCCTGTGCGACACCCAGCAGCCCGGCTGCACCAACGTGTGCTACGACAGCGCCTTCCCCATCGCCCACATCCGCTACTGGGTGCTGCAGATTGTTTTTGTCTCCACGCCGTCCCTCATCTACATGGGCCACGCCATGCACATTGTGCGCCGGGAGGAGAAGCAGCGGAGGGTGGAGCAGGAGGAGAGGGAGGAGAGGGGGGAAGGGGGAGAAGACCTGGGGGGGGAGAAGGAGTACCTCCAGCAGAAGGTGAGCGGGAGAATGGTGGCGTCTGACGGGACCGGCCGTGTTCGCCTGAAAGGGGCGCTGCTGCAGACGTACATCCTGAGCATCATGATCCGCACGGTGATGGAGGTGACATTTGTCGTGGTGCAGTACATGATCTACGGGGTGTTCCTCAGGGCGTTGTACCTGTGCAAGTCTTGGCCCTGCCCCAACCCCGTCAACTGCTACATGTCCCGGCCCACGGAGAAGAATGTCTTCATCGTCTTTATGCTGGTGGTGGCCGGCGTGTCCCTGCTGCTCTCCGTGCTGGAGCTCTACCACCTCAGCTGGAAGGGCGCCAGGAGGTGTTTACGCAAGAAGAGGATGGAGAAGAGCAGCCACAAAGCTGTGACGGCGGCCGTCTCCGCGGCCTTGGAGCCCAACAGCCCCCCACTGCCCCCGGCCTCCTGCACCCCGCCTCCTGACTTCAGCCAATGCCTGGCGGCCTCGAGCTCCATGGACCCCATGACCTCTATGGCCTCGCACCCCTTCAGCAACAGGATGGCGCTGCAACAAAACTCCGCCAACCTGGCCACGGAGCGGCACCACAGCTGCGACGACCTGGAGGATGAGAAAGACTTCCAGAGGATGCGATTCGACCAGGCGCCCCCAGAGGTGCCCACCAGCTGCTCTCCCTCGCCGCTGCTGCACTCCGGCTACACGAAGGACAAACGCCGCCTGAGCAAGACCAGCGGCACCAGCAGCCGGGCTCGGCAGGACGACCTGGCAGTGTAGGCTCACAACACAAAAGGGAGGGGACAGAAAGTTTAGAACGAGTCTGAGGGTTGTTTATGAGGGAAGGGGTCAAAAGCATGAGGTTAACTGTGGAAATTCTGGCATTGACACCAGAAGCACAATCGTAGAGGACGGACTGGAGGTTCACCGGAGGGAGGGACACAGGTCTGTCGGAGGACTTGTGTGGACTTGATGTGCGCTCTGTGAGCAGATGTTATTTGGGAAAAGATCTGCCTCCTAAAACCAAACTGCAAAAAAGAAAAATATTTTCTAAATGAGTGTGTGAATGGCTGTTGCATATTGATGTTTTAGTGCAAAGATTTTTTAAGAGTAAAAAATGAAGTGATATTTTTCTAAAGAGAAATGACTGAAAATTACTTGGAGGGAAATGACCAAGGGAAACCGCTTGGAAAGCAAAATATGGATCACGCCTCAACTATTCAATGAATTACAATAGTTTTGCCCTGACGCTGCAAACTAAATGAGATGAGATATTTTGAGGCACACCGGGACACAATATGCAATAAACTGTGAAGCTTGCCGCGATTATTATGTTGTTTTGCAGAGCACAGTGAGTCACGGTAAAGTGCCTTAAAGAGCGTAAAAATAAATATAGTCCATATGATGTTTTTTAAAAGATTTATTGAAAAAGCCATTGCAAAAACTGTACATTTAGACTTGTTACCTGATGGCACAATACAGGTCCTAAAATGCATCTTAATCCCTTTACAATCTAAAAGAAAGTGACTAAAACTGTATTCATAAGTTCTGTGACAGGAGCCAATGTGTGCAGAATAGCCTCCTGAGATGTTCCCAATCCAGGGGGATTGAAGAGGAAACAGGAGGTCCTGCCTGGATGTGAGGAGATCCTGCCACTAGGTGGAAACATTGCACTTTTTCAGTTTCTGTCCTGATGTAAATAGTGAACTCGTCCTGTACGTTTCGGTTGATATCTTTTTATGTTGTATGTTATTTCATTTCCGTTGTTTTGCAAAAATCAATGTACAGGTTGGTTAAGTTTATCTTGCACAGTAAATTCACATGAAACAAGAAAAATCTTTTTTTTTCTTTTTTGTTATTTTACACAGACCGCAATAAATGTCATCATTAACTCATCACAAATTAATAAATCATCAACTGTACATTCTGCTCTATTGTCCTTAAGGGGTGTGATTAAAGCAAGTTTTTCTTAGATCTTTGTCAAACATCTGATTTGTGTTACTAATTGACTGACTTATTATTAGTAGTAGTATTATTATTATTACTGCACAGAAATTCCTGTTATTATTAAAAGAACTGATAAGAACTAAATTATAAAGGGGAAATTGATGAGATTATAATGTTCATGCATATTTGAGTATACGTTTCCTGAAGTTTTATTTCAGTATCACCACATGAATTTTCCAGTCTGTTTTTGTCAGAAGGACCTGCAGAGGACAGACTGGGCCGGGGTGTGCAGTATTTACACAAACTAAGACTGTCTCGCCGTCATTGCCAGGAAGCTGAGTGCTGGTATCCAACTTGATCCGTCACAAGCTGATTCAAAAGAAAAGCTCCAGTAGATGCTGACATTTCATTTGTTTGTTGCGGATCACATTCACCTCTACAATGTTATCCGCATTTTAATATCACTGAATGACATCATGCTACACACAGATTATATTCAAGAGCTGCAGCGGAGTAATTACCTCACATTGCCAAAAAAACGTCTCTCTCTATCAACGATGGCAAAGCTGAGGCAACGCTTTATGGTACCTGATGGAGGTATTTGCTACGACCGAATATCAGTACCACTGTGCTCAGGATTTTATGTGGTCGTAAAATGATCAGGAGGTTGGTGGTTAAGACTTTGGTCTACATGTTGAAGTGTATTTGGGCAGGAGAGTAAATCCCAAATTGTTGTAAGATTCATGTAATCGGGGACAAACAAGCACCATGCATGGTATCCTCTGCCACCGGAAAATTATGTGTGCGCGTGTTTGTGTGCGTGTGTGAATGCTGTCGAAAAGGACTGCATTTGTAAAAGCAGTTTTTACTCTTAACAACTAATTAAAGTGCTTCTACAAATGCAGTTCTTATACACTCCCATTGGCTACTAACAACAAAACTGTAACCCCAATAATACAATAATATTCAGTGCTAACACACATTTAGTCCCTTTTAAATATAATTTGAATCCCCCTTCTCTGGGAGGAAATATTTGGTGGAAGAAGTGATTATCGCATTATCAAAAATGAATCAACATTTGAGCAAAAAAAGCAGAAAATCCATTCTCTGGACTTTAGAATTATCATCCAGGATGCATTGAACAGTAGTAGATATTCCTCACTATTTTATTGCTGTATACATGATATTTTTGGAAAATTGTAATCTGTAATGCAATGAGTAACTGTGGCAGTCAAATTAAAAATGATAATATTGACTTTCGAATGTTAACGAGTAAAAGTGTAAATAATACAACACGAAGGAGGCTAAAATTCAAAATGATTAATAATGTTCAAAAGTCATAACTCTGAATCTCTCTACACTTAATGTACACGTGTGTGTCATTATTACCCCATATAAAATGATATGACGAATAATTTAAAAGCCTCAATGTTTTAACCAATCAAATAAATCGAGATTTTTTATTAATGTAAATATTATTTATAATTATTGTTTTATGAATAGAAAATGTACATTTGCTGAGGACAAGTCTCTTGTTTGTAATTTTGTGCCTTATCTAACGTCCTGCAGATACACCTATAGATGGCGTAACCTTTTCCATCTTTTATTTTAGAAGTAGAAGAAGAAGAAGAAGACCAATCCCATGGTGCAGGCTGGGAAATGTAGTTCTCTTCGCACAAAAATCACCTTCACTTTGACCGTACAGTGCCATGTATTTCCCTACAGTTCCCGACATGACATCGACTTGAAGCGGTGGTGGAGAGTTTGGCTTAATGTCAAGAGAACATATAATTCACCTAGCGCCGCGTGTTCTCAGTTACGGGAAGTAAAAGACCTCCGCTTCAGAAAGTAAGTCGCTAGCTTAGTGGGCTAACTTGTGCGCTTCGTTGTCATGGTGCGGTTAGCTAGGATGAGGTCACCGCCTCACGCTGTCACGCCACTAACGTTAGCCGGTGTCGCGTGGAAAGATGTTCTCTCTCTCAACGCGCTTCGTTCAGCGACGGCTTCGTGTTGAAACGGGTGACGCAATGTTTGATTTGAGATAGCGCGAATGGTCCGGTATTTAGGGGGAGTTGTGTAAACTCAATATGTATTTTCGGTAAACCTGCGAGTGTGAAAAGAACCGTTAAGTGGATAATTTCCTCTGCGACGCGTTGGGGCTTTACGGGAGGTTATAACGTGCCACAGGTTCGTCCATTATATAAACTTTTAAAAAGTGTGGTGACGACTGATTTACCATTTATCTCTGGTCCTAGCTCTCAGATTTGAGTGTTTTTTTCTTTTAATTAGAATTCCTTTAGTTTAAGATTGTCATGAGCATTTCCAAACAAACGGTAACGTTATATGCTGCTATTTTTATTCAGTTAACTTAGTCTAGTGCGTGTAGCTATTGCAATGTAGCTGTAACTTCCTTTTCTCTTTTTAAGAGGAAGTTAACGTAACATTTGCTGTAAGTACCCTGTGTGTGTGTGTGTGTGTGTGTGTGTGTGTGTGTGTGTGTGTGTGTGTGTGTGTGTGTGTGTGCGCGTGCGTGCGTGTAAGGTTGCTGTAAGGTGCGTGCAAGGTTGCATACCTAAGAAGGTGGATAGGAGTTTGTACAGTGAGCATACAATTGTATTTGACGATGATTACAAGGGTTAAAAAGTACCACCTATTTGTAGTATTATTAGAATTTATGGTATTATGTGCCTTAAATGTCCATTTTTAAAAACGCATGTTATTTCTGGACATCTGTAACGTTACATCCTAAATTGACCAAGAGTTGGCATTCAATGTATTTTTTGCATAGTTACACTTCCAGAAAGCAGAAATTGTCTTAATATAATTAACTGGGGAGGTTTTATGGTGGTTTGATTGATATGCCCGGTTCACTTATATAAGCAAATACATTTTGCAACATACTATATCTGCTATAGCTTGATTATATTTGATCCTTGGAGATGGTAGAATTCCACTATAGCAGGTAATCATTGAATCTGATAGATCAGCCTCATTGTCCTTGATCCAGCGATATCAATATCAGTGCATCCTCAAGTTTAATAAACTACAAAGCAATATGTGTGTTTGTATAAAAGTATTATAAACCGGTAACATGCTCCATTTGGTGTGATGTGATATGAGCATAGCCAAGTACCAGAGAAGGTAGAGGACAAATCCACTTTGGTTCACCCAGATAATGTGAGCCAAGGGAAAAGAACTAGTTCTACAAATACGAGGTCAGAGCTTTTTCAGTGAAGAATGTAATGTGTTCTAAACAGTAAGTGCCCGTTTTACAGATATGGGTTGGGGTTACACAGACACAGGTGTTGTTCCTGCAAGACGTCACTGTCCTTAAACAAGTTCTTCTTAATCTTTCCTGTTATATAAACAGTAAAGCAGGTGTAGTTAATTCAGATACTCATACAAAGTGTCTTTTTATTTCCCAGTTCAGCCATGAAGAAACTTTGGACCAAAGCAAGTGTTCTGGGTTCGATGTCGGTGGCTTTTGGTTCAATGCTGTGGTACCAGAAGAAAGCTGAATCGGACCAGCTGGTTTGCAGTCACACCTCTGCTGATACGAATCCCCCTTCTCCCTACGAACTGAAATTGGTTCAAGTCCTGTTCCGACATGGTGCACGAACGCCGCTGAAGTCGATACCTGGTGTTATGGAGGTATAACTCTTTTTACAAGATCGTCAAGTACATTACATTACATTATATCTACATAAGAAGGATCTAATGTTGCATCTTCTGTGTATAATATTCTATGTTGGGTCAAGGTCCAATGGGTGCCAACCCTCTTGGAGCCTCCGGCACACACCCAAATCAACTACAAGGTGACAGACCTTCATGGGGGCCCAAGACCACCAGCTCCAGTAGAAGAGAGCTATCGGAAGAACGTTCTGAACGTAGGTGGGCTTTGTGACATTAAGCAATCTGCCATAGTTCAGGTCAACCTTCACTGTACTTTTTCTGCCATGCCAGATGCCAACTTGCTCAGTTAATATATGCTTTGTCGAAGGCCTGAAGTTGAAGTGTGTTTTTAGAATATTATTTTTTTGCTTCATTGATGTGAAGCCCCTTGTGGTTTAGAAACCTCCCTCCCTCTAGTGGCCTTCAGGATTCATTACAAAGCCTCACAAATGACATTAAAGCGGCCATTGAACGCCTCTCTGTGCCGCTGCTGGACTGTGCGCGGCGCGTTCTCCAGCGAGACGTGTTGGCCAGCCGCTGCCCGTAGAAATGGTACTTATAGAGTAGCCTTCTGCGCTCCGTTAGATGCTTTGCTAAAGAGGTTTATTGTACTGGGTTTAACTAAATCCTACAATATGGACTCCTGCCATCCCCCGTAGCACATTCACTCTGGATTCCTGCATGCCATCGCAGGTGTGTGTGTGTGTGTGTGTGTGTTAGGCCACGCTTATGAGTAAAAAAAATAAATACAACCTGATCCTGTTTGTCGCAATTGGCAGGGTGGCACGTTCCCCGGTCAGCTGACCGCGGTGGGCATGCAGCAGCTGTACGAGCTGGGCAAGAGGCTGAGGAGGACGTACGTTGAGGAGACCCATTTCCTCAGCTCCACCTTTAGCCCTGCTGAGGTCTAGTAAGTGTTGCCAATCGTGAAGGCCAGCGGGGGTCATTGCACTTTCCTGTACACGACAGCCATGATGCATTGTGCTCTCAAGCGTCGCATCAGTTGGCTGCCGTCCATGAACTGTATTTCTATTTCAGTGTGCGTTCCACAAACATTCTGAGGACCATTGAATCCGCCAGGTGCCTCGTAGCAGGGCTCTTCCTGCAAAAACAGACAGGTAGTGTTAGAAAGCCGCGCGTGCAAGATGCTCTTCGGTTTCCTGGATCTCATCCAATCAGCGATCGCAATCTCCTTTTCTACATGTAGAAACTGTCCCTATTTTCACAACGGACGCCGGTTCGGAAATCCTCTACCCGAATTACCACGGATGCCAGCTGCTCAAAATCCTTGCAAGGTACTGTACATTGAGTGTATATATATATATATATATATATTTTTCTTTACACAAGACTTAAACATCCTTTGCACTCGCTAACCCCAAACTGTAATCCAGAATTGAGATGCCCCTGACAGGTTGTCCCGCTGTGTCTGTGTTCGGTGTGCAGCCCCCGCTGGGCAGAGGCCTCCACCCTGCCAGACATCGCAGCGGACCTGCAGAGCGTCCACAGCGCGCTGGGCATCGCCCCTCGCCTGCCCGTCGACTTCATCCTCATTAGGGACGACATGGTCGCCAGAGAGGTGACACCGCCGCGTCACGATTCGTATGACTGTTATTAGGTCTCACCACAAGCCATCAGCATGCACGGGGTTAATACACTCGGCCCCCTGGCAAGCCGCTGCTTATGCAAGATGGGTTCCTAGACAATTTAATAAGCTGAAATAACAGAGTCAGCAGGCTTTGACTGTAAGTTGCCCACAGTAGGTGCTGATTTGGGGGGAAAAACTACGATGAAGGTAGTACCCTGTAAAGCAAAATATCTCATGACAAAAGTGAATGAATCTTCAGGCGTGTTTTTTCTTTTGGAGGTTTGTGTTGCTACGCTGCAGAGGTTATTCTGACTGTCGCGTCTCTGCGCATTACCAGACGCACGGCCTGCCCTGTCCATCAGCGCTGGGCACCTGGAAGAGCAAAGTGGAGCAGAGAGCTGTGGACATGATGTGCCATGTCTATGAACACAACGGCAGGTTAGACTAAACCAAGTAGGAGGGGCTTTTGAGAAGAAAAAAAAAGTTCTCTACACAGACCAGCTCACTATCTTGTGCTCTGTTTTTAGCATGGAGAACTTGCAGCTGTGTGTGGGACCCCTTCTGCACTCGCTGTTAACCAACATTGAGGGGAAACTTGAGGGCACTTCATCAGAGGCAGACAGGTTGGACCCTTCTGGGTGGACACACCAACTAACTTGTGAGCTTCGAACTCCACTGTGGTTTTGGTCCTTTTTTAAGCTGTCTGCTGAACGTCCCTCTCCATCAGGAAGCTGTTTTTGTACTCCGCACATGATACCACTTTGATTCCGTGTTTGATGGCTCTGGGGATTTTCGACATGAAATGGCCACCGTTTGCTGCTGACATCACCGTAGAGCTGCACCAACACCGGCAGACCAACAAGCCCTTTGTTAAAGTGTCCTACGTAGGCCAGGTAGGGTCTGACTATGCGTCTGTTTAGCATTTACATTTCTTCCCTTGTTGTGTTTTCACGTTTACGGTGGTTATCTCTTGGTAGGATCAACTTCTCCCGGGTTGCAGTGGAGTCTACTGTCCCCTGGAACAGTTCAAGCAGGTCCTCTCAGCGTACTCACTGAGCTCCGAGGTCCACCGCTCGCGGTGTAACAGCACCAAGGGGGCGGCTGAATCCTGAACCCTCAGCACAGCGCTATCACTGCATCACACTCTGACGGGAACCACACATCATGTTTGGTCTACTTCCTCCACTCTCACTCCATCCGGCCACCACCTTCACCACCTGCAGGGAAAGCACATCATGTTTTGCATCAGACTCTTATGTCATAGTTCCTCATCTCTGTGTAACCAAGGCAGTGAAATGTTCAGATTCAAGTAGATGGATTTGATGGCTCTGGCATGTAGACAAGTATAAGCAAAAAATTTTTTTCGCAAACTTTGCGTGTGACACGACATGCTTTGTGCATCCAGGTTTGTTTGCAGGCACTGAACAATCAAGGCTCTGAAAAAGAAAAGAAAAAAACACCAATACCATCAACGTCGACCCGGTTTCTAACAGTCATGAATCTTTAAAAGAAAATGACAAATGTTTACTTTCATTTGAGGCACAGGGTAATAAACTACTTCAGGGTTGGCTAAACAGGTTTTTTTTTTTTTTTGAATTATGTGGCGCCAATGCCGTAATCTGGAGCAATAGTTCTTCCAATTGGGTTGGTTTGACAATAAAATCTTTCATATTCAATCATTTTGTTTCTAATGAGTCCATACACTGGATCAATTGTAGGGGCTTCTTCATTTGTCGGAGGTGAATGTCTTCATAAACATGTAGAATCTGCTGAAGCGGAATAATTCTGTTACGTTTAGTTTGGAGGATGAAAAATTAAGCTGCCTTAATGTGGGGATTAATTTATAGAGGAATAAATTCCCATCACATTAACCTGTTACAACACACATTGTACTTCCTCTATGAGACTTTCCAGTGCCCTGCTGTATAAAAAGCAAACATTATGCACTCAAAGATTTCAATGAATATAATGATATCAATAAGTTGTTTTTTTTGGCCTTGGTGAATTTTGAAACGGATTAGAAAAGTACAAATAGTAGAGCTCGAATGCAACAACCATGCTCGCACTTATTTTTGAAGTGTGGTGTCCTGTGAAAGTAGCTCCTGATAAAAGGTCCTCTTGGCAACATTGCTTCTTTGTGACCTGCTCTCTTTGGTCAAGCCCAGTTTCGGTAAACCGGTTCGACGTGTACCATGAAAGACGCCACTTGTTCCACGTGAGCAACAAGATGTGAAAAGTCAACAGCCACGCAGACACCCCCACACACACACTCCGTAGACAACATGTATGTACCAAAACAATATCTTTTATTTGTAGTCCATCACCACAGCCCTGGTAGGCTTCTCTGCACCAAAGCTAATGGAGAAACACATGAGAAGCGTATACAATAGAGAAAAGAGGAAGTCAGCTGGATGGTCAGCAGTACGTCTTCACACTGGGCGCCACACTTCCCGTTCTAAAAGTTGTGTCAGATCTACCAAACCAGCTCTAGAATACCTGGCGTACTTGCTGTGGCATTCAGCCGCTCCTGTCCCATTCTGCTGACCATTGGGGGGGATTATTGCTGTGGGAACGATTATTACCCAGAGTCAACAAGAGTTGTGAGCAAAACAGGAACAAGAACACACAAAGCACGTCTGGGTGTTAGCAAGTATTACTCATGTTGGCACAAGTTGAGTCCTGAAATTCTTGGTGCACCAAGTCCAACGTCATTGACAACTTTAAATGGGGGTCGGGGGTGATTGTGCTGCAAAGCTGCCGGGACGCTCACACTAATTGTGTTGCGCTCAATGGTGAAAAATAGAGAAAGAAGACGCTTTCTGCAGACGTTCCATGTTTGTGCTTTTTTAATAATACTATTATCTTAATGAGGTCATAGTTTGGTTTGTTATACACTGGAGTTACAAAGGAAATTAAAATAGACTAAAATTCGAATAGCCCACCAATGGTAAACAGTACAGTATTTTTAGGGGGCATTCCTCCCCCCATGAAAGTTGGGTGAGAGGAGTTGAGAGGTCACTGATAGAATGCCTATACATACGGACACATACCACATACATACCACACAAACATACAGTCTCACGCACACACACGCGCGCTCACGTATATACTGTACAGAAACAGTCAAAACAATGGAGCGAGAGACAAGATGGAGTTCCACTAAAGTCTTCACAAAGCACAAATTCTTATTCCTTTCTCTTGTTCTATACCATTTCATGACAAATTTGTTTTGTTTTTTATTTCAAAAAAGTAGACATATACTGTAGCATCTCCACGCTGACGTTGAGTTAGGTTTATTCCTCTTCGATGTTGAAAGTCATCTTTATAGTCAGATAATCAAAAAACACAAGAAGAGTTTTGCGAAAACTGATGCACAACAATCCCATACATTCTGAAGTTCATGAGTCAAAATTCAATGTTCTTGTGGAAAAAGTACTCCGGTGTGGGCCTGTCCGAGTCTCCATAGGAACAGTTCCCACAGGACATCGCTCATTGACTGCGTAGCTCCATTGTGTTCGTTTCTGCGTACGTCCTCGCTCTTGCATTATACTTCCTTTACTTGAGTTCATCAGTTATTTCTGAACACTATCCACACACCAATCGCCTTAACTCCATCCTTGTGTATTGTCCAAGAACATTCTACGTACAAGGTTTCTGGAGGATTAAAACATTCCGGGGCCCGGACTGAACCCCATGTCCATGTCACGTGGCCTCATCTGACCCCCCATCATCATTGTCTGCTGTGGAGGGACGCCCATGCCCTGCAGCGACATCATCATGTTAGGTGAGCCGCCAGGACCCGGGTGGGCCATTTGTCTCCCCTGCATCATCACTCCTGGACCCCCAGGGCCCATCATCCGGTGCTGGGGGCCCATCATGCCTTGGCCCATGAATCCTGGGGGCCGCATTGAATTGTGGCCCGGGTTGCCCATCGGCATGTCTTGGGGGCCCATTCCCCCACCGGGCCCCCCTGGCATCCCCCCCATCCCCTGCATCGACATCCCCATCCTCGGCGGACCATCTCCCATCATGCCCTGCATGGGAAAGCCTCCGGGGTGCGGTTGTTTCCCTCCGGGGTTGTCCCCCCCACCTCGGGGGAAGTAAGACAGAGTCTGGCTGGGCTTTTCTGATGGGATTATCCTGGACAGGTCAAACTCGGGAATACCGGACGCTCCCGGCCGCATCACCTCGTGAAGGTCCGCGTCACTGAATCCACCTTGCATGCTGTTGAACTCTGGCCCTCCAGAGTTATTGGGCTTGCACATGCCCCCATCGACCCCTCCGCCGTGAGGCATGTTCCCCATCCGTCCTCCCATGGGGCCTCCTTCTCCCTGGAAGCCCATCGGGTGGCCAGGGAAGCCTTGGGGACCAGGACCATTGTGCGGGGAGAAAGGGCCCTGCTGGGAAGGGGACTGGGTGAGAGGGTACGCCTGGCTTCGGTGAGGGTAACCCATGCGTCCCTGGGGCATCATTTGGGGGTTTCCCATACCGGGGTCTTGGGGATTTTGTGGCATCATCATGCCATGAGGCATCATGCCTGGGCCCATATTGGGGGCATTCGGAGAGGGCATCTGTGGGGGCATGCCGTGGGAGAGGGGCTGAGACGCCATCGGATTCATGCCCAGAGGGCTGAGGGCAGACATGGGTCCAGCATTTCCTGGTCCCATCATACGTGGATTACCTTGGTGGTTCATCACCATACCTGTAAATGCAAGACAAAAATAAGTGATTGTGTATTCTCTGCATGCACTGAGCGTGGTGCAATTGAAAGAGCAAATTAAAACAACAAATATTTCAGATGTCTCACCGTTGTTGTTCACTGAAGGCAGGTTAGGGGAGCGAGCTGGGGGCGAGTCATCGTCAGAGCTAGCAACAGTCTTTATGGCATCATGGTAGAGTGGGGTGGAGCTGGGCATTGCGAACTTGGACATGCGTGACATCATGATGGAAAGAGGGTTCTGGGATAGAGTTGGCTCAGGCGGTATGGCGTACGGACTGCCAGACTGAACATTGCCTGGGAGGGACATGGGGCCAGATGAGGGCCCTCCTGAAGGTGGGGCTGAAGGAGGGCCGTTACCACCTGGAGGACGGCATGATGAGAAGGGAAGACAAGACATGAGATGATAAATAGCTGAGACTTCTCTGGCGGGTTGTTATTATCTGTAAAGACGGAGTGGTAGTATGTGCCACTCGAGGCTCAGTGAAATATAATCGTGTTGCCACAAGAGGGAGCCGCTGGTCCATAACCCAACCAACCCCACCCTCATACAGATGTGGTAACTTAGACATTTACTTGATAAACAGCTTCCACATTTGTATTTTGTACGATTGTAGAATAATCGAATACAGATTTAAAACAGGGGGTCATACATTAATTATGCAATATTAAAAATCAAATGTTTGACTAAAGATGGGAATACAATTAAACGTCAAACCATTTACAAAAGCCCAATTTTTAAATCAAATATGCTCTGAAAATTGGAGGGGGACGGGGATTGGATATATATTAGCCAAGTAAAAAAGAACAGTTGCTTCCTAACAGAAAATGGATTAAGGAGACTCCTACCTTGCTCCATGCCACCCATCATGTTTGGTGAGGTGATGCTGAGGGGGGGTTTGCCACCCTGAGGTGGTACTCCAGGGCTCTGCATGGGTGGCTTTGGTGAAGATGCCCATCCTGGAGAGGGGTTTGGAAGAGAAGGAGACCTCATATGAACAGGAGAGGCACCAGCTGAGCCCATCATGGAGTGGGGGGATTTCATTGGTGCTGAAGATGGCGGAGGCGGAGGGGCACCGGGGCCTGTGGGACCAGTGAGCATGCCAGCCAGCTGGGACGGCGTCTGAGGAGATTTAAGGTTTCCGGATGGAGAGCCCATCATGGGGGACTGCACTTGCCTCAGAGGGGGGGATTTGAGTGGGTTGATACTGGGAGAGTTTCCCCCTCCTGCTTGGACATTCAGATCTGCTGGCTTGCGGCCCCTCTGACCTTGTGAGGGGCCACCACCAGGAGGGAGGTGGTTCATACGGCCATTGCCTCCTGTTGGTGTAGATCTGTGCTCCGGACCAAAAGCTTGATCTACATGCGGACCCCGCATTCCTCCAGGGCCCCCTGGGAAGGGCCGCCCAGGCCCCATAGGGAAGTCTCCCTGCTGTGACTGGTCAGGGAAGGGAGGACCCTGCATGGGCCGGCCTTGTGGACCCATGTTCTCCATTGTAGGTCCTCCACCTCTCATTCTCATGATCTCCTCGGGACTCATATTCATGGAGGGATCTCGTAGCTTTGCAGGGTGCATATGAGGTCCTGGCCCGGGGCCAGGCCCCATGCCAAACTCGGGTCCCATTTCCCTTCCCCCCATCCCTTGGAGCCTAGAAGACGGACTCATTGGACCATCAATGGGCATTCTGGGAAACATCCCCATGCCATTACCAGGTTCCATTCCGCCTCTTTGGTGCCCCATCATCCTTTGCATGTCCATCATCATCCCTGGAGGGATGCCCTTCTCCCCACCCATACCTTGGTGGAACATTGCTTCTTGGACTGACTGAGGATTCGGAAAACGCTCGCCACGGCCCCCTGGACCGCCAAACATTCCCCCAGGTCCTCCGGGGAAGCCTCGTGCATCCCCCATACGGGGAGGCATGTCGTCAGGCCAGCCCATTCCAGGCCTCGGGGGTCCATCCATCTCAGGATTCATCATGCCAGAGAAACCGGGCATTCTCTGCATATGTGGGGGCATTCCCCGGGGGCCAGGGACCGGGCCAGGGCCCATGCCCATGCGCTCCTGGTAGTGTTCTGGAGGACCACCTGGTCCTCCCCACATCTCTCCCGGACCCATCTGGTAGGGAGGCGGGGGGCCTCGCATCATGCCGCGAGGACCATG